GGCTGACCCCTGGGTTTTCAGGCCCTCTGATAGTTGGAGGCCAGAGGGAGGCCAGAACCCAGCACTCTCTGGTGGCTTGCTGAGCTCAGAGCAGCTACCCCGATGGAGGTCCGAACCCACCCTCTCAGGCTGTCTGCTAGGAGCTCAGCCTTAGCCTACCAAAACCAGATCTTGATGGAACAGAATTTAAAGTCCAGAAAAGGATCAATAGATATATATTTTTGGCAATTTTTAGAGATTCAAAGACAGTTTAGTGAAAAAAGGAAAATGTTTTCAATAAATTGTTCCAGAGTTATTAGATGTTCATATACAAAAAAGGAAACTTTAGCTCATATCTCCCACTATGTACAACAACTAATTCAAAATAGCTTGTACACCCACATTTAAAACCTAAAATTATAAATCTTCCAAGGGAAAAAAATCTTTGTGACCCTATGTGGGGCAAAGATATTTTTATGTATGATAACAAAGTATCACCTATGAAAGACCTTACCAGTTAGACATCAGTATTAAGCAATTCTACTCATCAAAACACACCAGTAAAATAATGAAAAATTAAGCTGTAGATTGGAAGATAACATTTTTAACACACATTTCTGACAAAGAACTTTTGTGTATGATAAAGAACTTTCAAAACTTTTTTGGTCTAGGGATACGACTCAGTGGGTAAAGTTTTCCTGGGCAATCATTGAGTCCTGTGTTTGGATCTTGAGAACCTGTATAAAAACCAAGGATGGTGGTGTCCTGTAACCCTAATGCTAGAGGGCCAAGACAAGAGAATCTTGGGGGCTTACTAGCCAGCCAGTCTAGCTGAAACGATGAGCTTCAGGTTCAATGAGAGTTCATTAAGAGAACCTGTCTCAAAAAATAAGATGTGGGCTGGCAAAATAGCTTAGTAGGTTAAGTCACTTGCTGCCAAGGCTGTCAACCTGAGTTCAATCTGTGGGACCCATGGTGGAAGGGACCCATGGTGGAAGAGGAGAACTGACATCCATAAATTGACCTCTGACCTCTACACAGGAACCATGACATATACATATACCCATAGATAAATAAATAAATAAATAAATAAATAAATAAGCAAATAATACAGTGAAAAAAATTAAATATGGTGGGGAAACAATAGAGGAATGACATCCTGACACCAGCCTCTGACCTCCACATGTACACATGCATGAACACACGTGTGCACATACACACAATTTTGTTAAGAAAATAAATAACGCTTTTGAACAAGGGACAAAATATTTTCCCAAAGGAGAATAGTGAATAAGCATAAGAAAGGATTCTCACACCACTGGACTTGAGATACCACTAACACATCTACGACAGTGGTTCAATCTTACAATAAACAAATCCGTAATGCTGAGTGGGTCCCAGAGCTCATACATTGTTCAAAGAAAGGCAAAATGTTATAGTCTATCTGCACAGGGTGGCACATGCCTGTAGTCCTAGACACTGGGAATGCTGAGGTAAGAGGATCACCTGAACCCAGGAGTTCCAGACTCTTCTGGGCATCATAGTGAGATCTCTAGCTAAAAAAAAAAAAAAAGGCTAGGGGAAAGGATATAAATACCATCAAACTATATTGCATGAAAATTTGCAAAAAGTTGGGGCTGGAGAAATGGCTCAGCGGTTAAGAACACTGGTTGTTCTTGCAAAAGACCCAGGTTCGAATCCCAGCACCTACATGGCAGTTAACAACTGTCTGTAACTCCAGTCCCAGGGGATCCAACAGCCTCTTCTGACCTCTGCGGGCATTGCATGACACAGGTGCACTTACCTACATGCAGACAATACATGCATGCACATAAAATAAAAATAACAAATAAAATTTGAAAAAAATTGCAAAAGGTCAATAAAAAACTTAAAAAATAAAAGTAAAAATTTACAACTACTGCAGAAGAGATTGACGGCTTCTTACAAAGTTGAGCAAGTACTATATTACACTTACTTTACCACTCAACAATATGAATAGTAGAGATGATAAAAATATTAAGTCTAAAACAATGCCTTGAGTTTTCACTTCTGGTCATATGCTGGACTATTACCATGAAAAACCACTCCAATAAACACAGCCCACATAGTGGATGAAATACAGAAACAAATGGAGCAATGCATTGTGAGGAATGTAAGGACTCTCAGAGGCTGATAAGTTAATGGTAGGTCATTGAATTACTGAAGCAAGCTTTCACCTTAGGGCATGTTTCAAACTTGAATTTATTTTTGAGTTTCTAGTACTGCAGGATTTTGGAGATGGGAGGTAAAGTGCGGGATTTTCCCAGGTTAAAGAAGCTGATGGTTGAGCCTGCATAGAATTAAATCTTGAAAGTCTCCTTTTTAAGTGTAAATGAGAAAATAATCCTTCTCTGTTCCCCATACCTCTGCAGCTTCCTTAGTGTCTGCCGGAGAAAAATATTTTCTTTGTGGGTTTTTTTTTTAGGAGAGGTGGTGGTCAACCTAGGGCTTTACGTGTGCTAGGCAAAGTCTCTACCACTGAGCTAAAACCCAAAGTCAGTTTTGAGAATTCTTAACCTTAAGATAGTTTTAATGTGTTTATAACTTGAATTCACAAATATGGATCTTCAAAAAAAATCTCAGATTGACAAATTACATTAAACTAGGTGTGAGTTAACAGTAGCCCTGGGCAGGTGAAAGAATCAAAGGAAAATTCCTTCTAAAGTATATCTTCAAGCAGGCCTCAAAGAATTCTCATAGAATATAATTCCAAGGAATATGAGCTAACAGAAAAAAAAGAGAAACATTTAAAGAAATAAGAAACCATGAGGAAACAGCAGCAAAATCAAGAGATAGCAGCTCTTAACATGTGAGGATTTCAGATAATGCAATGATCCGGAATGAAAAATAAACATTTAAATTTATATACGGCAATAAAGAATTCACTTAAAACATAACTAAAGGACTTTGGAGATAGCTTGGTCATAAAATTTGTGCTTAGCATGTGTGAGATCCCCAGTACTTCCCCTAAAATGTGTGTGTATACACATGTAATTAAAGAGCAAAATAACAGAGACTGGGAAGAAAACCAAGAATATTGAAACCAAAAACATAATACTTAAAAATTTAAACTCAGTGGATGCATTTGAAAACAGATCAGACAGAGCTGTAGAAAGAATTAATAAAACAAAGAACCAAAGAAATTATCCAGACTGTAGACTAGAAAACAAATACAAGTAGAGTATGAAGTGTGTGCGTCTTTGTGTTTATGTTCTAGAATCTCAAAAAAGAACAAAAAGTGGAGGTGAGTCAAGAGAAAATACTGGGGAGCTAATAGCTGAAAATTTCCAGGATTGATAAAAGGATGCTAAACCAGAAATTCTAACAAATCTCAAGTAAAATCAGTAAAAAAGATTTCTCTACCTAGGTCATTATTGTGAAACAACAGAACACCAGAGGCAAAATGGGTGGATTGGGGAGAGGGGGAGGGACTTTAAAACAATCCCATTAAAGAGATTTCTCATAGAAAAGTAAGAATTAGAATGACAATCTACCTTTTAAGATCAACAATAAATGCCAGAGACATTAGAAGAGTACTCTCATTGTGTTGTTAGAAAATATCTTTCAGGGACTGGAGAGATGACTGAGTGGTTTAGAGCACTGGCTGCTCTTGCAGAGGACCAGGGTTCAGTTCCCAGCACCCACATGGCAGCTACAGCTGTCGGTAACTCCAGTTACAGGGGATCTGATGCCTTCTTCTGGCCTTTGCAGGCATTGCATGACATGGGTGCACTTACATACATGCAGGTAAAATGCTAATGCACATAAAATAGAAAGAAATAAATTTAACAGCTTTAAAAGAGAAATTTATCTTTCAGAATGAAACTGAAATGCGAGAAAATGTCTTAGAAGACCGAGAGCTATGTAAAGACATATGCCCAGAAAAACAAAAGTGGAGAGAGTTTGTCCCTGCAATTTTTCAATAAGGAAATTTAAAGAATGTTTTACAGGATAAAGGAAATTATCCACCATGGAACATCCGAGGCACTGGAAAGAAAGATGAGGGAACAGGTGGTAAATTGGTAGGTAAATCTAAAGCAATGATTGTGTGTGTGTGTGTGTGTGTGTGTGTGTGTGTGTGTGTGTAGTTAAAAAAGAGAACTAAAGGGACTGGAGAGATGGCTCGGTGGTTAAGAGCACTTGCTCCTTTTGTAGAGGACCCACGTTCAGTTCCCAGAACCCACATGGTGGCTCATAATCACTTGTAACTCTAGCTCCAGGGAATCCAATATCTTTTTCTGAACTCCTTGGGCACCAGGCATGCATACGGTGCACATATGTACATATAGACAAATACTCATATACATAAAATACAAACAAATTTTAACAATAAAAAAATTTCGAAGGAGAAATAAAATACAGGACATCCACAGCATATAAACTGCAGATGTCAATCTTGATGAAGACATTGCTGCTTGTTTCACTGAAGAAAATGAAAGAAGCTCTGAGGTAACAGTCCGGCATGGCATCTGCTCACCTGCTGCCCTTGCTGCTCCCATTCTTTCTTCTAGGTGACAATGAAGTTAAACCATCTACTCCCCTTTCTAAAGCCAATTCTCATTGTACTCTAGAGTCCACACCAGTCACCGACTCGCTGAATGACAACAGCATCTCCTCCCTCCTGCAGCATCAGTGTTCCCTTTTCTTTTAGCTATTCCCATACCACATCTTTCTATTTCTCTTATAATGAAAAAATAGCACTTTCTCCCATACTCCTTATTCTTGATACTGTCTGATTTTTCTGTTCTCTTTTGCAGTAAAACTTCATGGCAGGGTTCTCTACTGTATTAAAATATTAGCAAAGTAGATCCAAGCCAAATGAATAGAAGGAACTTGGTAAAAGAAAACAACAGAAAGGATCAATCACACCATGCCAAGTATGCAATTCGCACAGTAGGCACTTAATGGATATTTGTAAACTATGTGTTAAATAATTCAGTAGTTAGATCATTGCAAAATACAAAATTTGTAAACATTATTACCTGTTCTTCCTTTTATTGAAGTTGAATTTTTTAAATCTCCACTAATACTGGTGATGGTAGCGATGTATTTTCGCCCAGGGACCAGGTCTGTAAAAGTGAATTCTTTGGCATCTCTGGAGAGTGACTTGTGAATAACTAAGAGTTCTCTGTCAGTCAGTGAGATGATGTATTTCTCCCATTCAGCCACAGGTGCCTGCCACGTGATGCTCAGTGAAGTTTCGTTAGCATGTTTGACACGAAGCTGGAGGACAGCCAGGGGGGCTGAGGAGAAATCAGTTGAGACGTGGGTCACTGAATGGTCCAGATACAACCATAGATTATGTTTTAGGGAACTGTTCTCTTCCATCCTCAGCAGTGTCCTAGCTCAACACTTCTTTTTCAAAAAAAAATTTTTATTATTATTTTTATTTGTGTATATGAGTGTTATGCCTGCACGTAGGTAAGTGCACCTGTGTCATGCAATGCCTGCAGGGGACAGAAGAGGCTGTCGGATCCCCTGAAACTGGAGTTTTGGGCAGTTGTTAGCTGCCATGTGGGTGCTGGGATTCGAACCCGGGTCTTCTGCAAGAACAGTGTTCTTAACCGCTGAGCCATCTCTCCAGCCCATCAACACTTCTTTTTCTAAATGTTTATGAAGCATTAAAAATGCTTGACAGCTGGGCTTGGTGGCATACACTTTTAATCCCAGCACTCAGGAGGCAGAGACAGGTAGATCTCTGTGAAATCCAGCCCAGCCTGATCTATATAGAAAGTTCTAGGCCAGCTGGGGATACATGGACACAAACTAACTAAAACAAACAAAATGCTTGTCACAAAACTATTTATGCAACATAATTATAAATAAGGACTCAAAAGACTATCTTTGAAAAATTCCTTATTGGGAGATAAATTTGGTTTTGACCACATATTATTTTATTAGAATTGATCTCTTCTAAGATTTATTTTTATTATTTTAAAAATCATGTGTGTGTGTGTGTGTGTGTGTGTGTGTATACATGTGCACACATGTGCGTGCCCATGAGTGCAGGTATCTATGGAGGCCAGAGGTGCTAGATGCCCCGGAACTGGATTTAAAGGTGGTTGTAAGTCACTCAAAGTAGATGATGGAAATCAAACTCAGGTCCTCTGCAAGAGCAGTTTGAATCCTAATGGCTGAGTCCTCTCACCAGTTTCAAGCGTTATCAGTCCCTACGGATTCTGTGATATGAAGATTTGAACAAAATCCCGTGATACACAAAACCATAAAGAACTGTCTATCCTTGAGTATTTAAGTGGAGTGAGAAGTCTTTGTTACCCCATAGTCAGGAAGACCCAGCACTCTTCCCTTTATTTCTGAGGCAGGAACACTGCTGTGTCTTGAGGGAGAAAGGCTACTGGAAAGTAATTAATCTGAGTAAGGGCAGCCCTTATCTTAAAAGAATCTTTATTGCTTCCATTTCCTTAAAAGATGCTATCATTATAATTTCTAGAAGATATTGTTAATGGAAAAGTATTGGTTTTGCAAAACAATACGGAAATTATAAAAGAGTCAATTGTGTAAAATCATATTTTGCTCAAAGGAAATTTCTCCATTCCAGCAAAATGAATCTCTGTGTCTTTCCTCATCAACATAAGGAGGAGTTTACACTAAGGCCTACCTCAAGCTACTTTATTCACCACCTGGAGATTTGGTTTTATTTTTTATTTATTTATTTATTTAAATTTTATTATTTTTATTTTATGTGCAATGCATGCATGTATTGCCTGCCCGCAGAGGATAGAAGAGGCTGTTGGATCCCCTGGAACTGGAGTTACAGACAGTTGTTAGCTGCCATGTGGGTGCTGGGATTCAAACCTGGGTCTTCTGTAAGAACAGTCAGTGTTCTTAACTACTGAGCCATCTCTCCAGCCCCGAGATTTGGTTTTAAAAAAGCTCTCTTGGTTCTTCTTTCTGTAAGTGACTCACAGTGACTTCTGAAAATGGTCTGCTATTCTCATGAACCAGAAAACCTGGCAAAATCATGGAAATCAAGAGGCTCAACTCTTTGTATTCACTCTAAGTACATCTGTGAAACTGCCCAGGCCATCAAGGGCATGCATATCTAAAAAGCCACCAAGTATCTGAAAGATGTCATGGCAGAGTAAACTATTCCAGATATACAAGTGGTGGAATTGGTAGGTGGGCGCAGGCCAAACAGTGTGGCTGGACATGGCACCAATGGTTCAGAAAGAATGCTGAATTGTTTTACTGCACGTCTTTAAAAATGCAGAGGACTATTGAGCTTAAGAGTTTAGCTGTAGATCTCTCTGGTCATTGCACATCTGCAGGTGAACAAAGCTCTCAGGACGCGCTGCCACCCACACAGGGCTCAGAGTTCGAGTAACCCACTTGTGAGCTCCACCCACCACATGCTCATAATCCTCATTGGAAAGCAACAAATTGTTTCAAAATCAGAAGAGATTCCACAGAATGAAAAGATATCATAGAAGAAACAAAAACTTTTGGTATGGGAACAAATTCAGCATGAAATAAGTAGAAATAAAGGTAAGGGGGAAAAAAACAGAAAAATTCTCTAGAGAACTGTGCCAACACGAGGGGACTTTCTACTGTTTCTTCATTTTACATTTCCAGATTACTTGGAGTGAGGGATAAAATATTGAGGGACAACAAAGATGCCTGTCCTGTGATTACTAAGAGTGGCTTGGCTTACAATGGCCAGGTCTTTGGTCATTATTCACTGGGCGTTAATATTTGGAAGAGGAAGAGATCACTGAAAACACAGTTGGTAAGCTAGGGGGATACCTTGGTGGTTTTATTTGACAGTATTCTTTCTTTTTTTTTTTTTGACTAGGTCTCCCTAGCCCCAGCCTGCCTGGAATTCACCATGTAGATCAGCCTGGCCTCCATCTCACTGAGATCCGCCTGCCTCTGCCTCCTGAGTGTTAGGATTAAAGATGTACACCACCATGCCCAGTGTTTGACATTCTCATAAGAACATTGAATCAGTGTAGTTATTTCCTTAGCAAGCAACACTAAGAAAGACATTTTTCACTTGAAGTATGGATTATTTTGCATTACAAGGATCGTCATAGAAATGTTGAACTTGGAAGGACAACTCTCTTATGCAAAAGTTGAGAAAACAGGGTCAAGGAGGCTATGCTTTATGAAACAGAAAGATAATGGCAACATCAAGAATACTAAACTCCATGCCTCAGGGTCTTCATCTTCCCTTCCTGTCATCCAAACTGGTCCCTCTCTACTCCAATCACCCACTCTCAGTACCTGAAATCCTCATATTAGTCACTATTAGGTCAAGGCAGTGACCACTTTGGGAAGATTGGTCTTTATTCTTAGATTGTATCCTTCTTGTTGTTTTGGCAGTTAAAGTGTCTTTTAATGAAATGGAGTTATTAGTAGGGAGGACTCTTGATTTCAAATTAGAAAAAATTACATGTTTGAAATTCTCTTATTCTCAAAACCTGTAATCCCTCACATTTGGGGAGCACAGAAATATAAATAATATGTGTGTTTACTTAGGAGAGGGAACAGATTAAAGTTCCATCATTTAAGAACCACCTGCATGTTTGCTTACCTGTCCTGCCTTGGCAACGCTCAGAGTTCCTCAGATTTCCACTCTCAACAGTGACTTCTACCCCATATTGTCTTCCTGGTATGAGCCCCACATCATCCAGGGTATAGTGTCTATCTTCTTTTCCCACAGTGATGTTGAGCAGCATCGAAGACTCATTGAGGAGCAGGATACGATATCGGTCCCAGTCTCCAGCAGGGGGCGACCAGCTCACTAATAGGGACTTCGTCTGAGTATTGTTGTTCTTGGCCTCTAGATTCCCTACTTTGTCTGGAACTAGACAATGAAATGATGTTAAGGAGGTACTGAAAACTAAACGTAAGAATATTCATCTACTATGGGCATCAGTGGATAGGAAACACAATGTCTGCAATTCAAGACATTCTTGCCCTGTCATGATGTTTGTGTACTGAGTACTCTTTTTTCATTTGGAGACATTTGACACTCAAGAAACACATGCAAAAATCATTTTAGTAGGATACTCTCTTATAACACTACTAATAATCTAGTGATGCTGGTGCAGTTTTTTTTTTTTTTTTTTTTTTTTTTTTTTTTTTTTTTTTTTCTGGTTGCAGGCCATGGAGATCGCACTAACACTGTTCCTCATGATGGTGATGCTGACAGATGGAGCATCTTTTGGAAATGATAACTGGGTGTTGTGGTCCTGCAACATTCTTCTCTTTTTATTTCTAACTAGAAAGAACAAACATCTTGCTTTTGCTTTGGTCATGTTTTTCTTACAAATAAATATTCAGAGTCTCTTCAAAAAACAACAGAATAAAACCTCGAGTCCTTCACTTGCATCTGGATCTCTCCAAGTAATAACTCTTGACTGCTCCTTGCAGCGTCCTCCCTCAGCTACCCCTTCCAGTGCCAGGCTCCAGGTGCACACTCTGCAGACCTGTTGGTCTCCTGGCCCTTCCCGCCTCTGAACCTTTGATTATAACATTCCTTCCATCTCACAGACCCTTTCTTCTTCCTCTTCAATTGCGAAGGAGTTCACACTTTCTTTTTTTTATGACTGAATTGATTTATTTTTATTTTATGTGTGAGCGTTATGTCAGCTTGTATGTTAGTAACAAGTGTGCAATGCCCACAGAGACCAGAAAAGACCATTGGATCTCTTGGATCTGTAGTTATGGACAGTTGTTAGCCACCATGTGGGTGTTGGGAATGGAACTCAAGTCCTCTCTAAGAACAGCAAGTACTCTTAACTGCTGAGCCATCTCTCTAGCCCCCAGAGCTCTCACTTTCTAGGTCCCACTGCAAGGTCATTTCATCCAAGCTTCTACTAGTCTCCTGAAAGCGATATTTGTTCTCTTTCCTTTGAGCACAAAGCTCTTGCTTGATATCTCTGGTAGCACTGAGAGTGGGCTGGTTTAAATTCTAGTTTTACTACTTCCTGTCTAGATGGCTATGAGCAAGTTGTTTGACTCTTCTATGTTATATGTAGAAAGTCTGTGATAACAATATAGCTCATGTCTGTAATAACACAGTTTTCTTATAAGAAATGAATGAAATAAGTATTAAATGTTTATCCAATGCCCAACACATGAAAACATAAATGCCCTTAGTATTACTAAAAGTTACTATTTTAGGTGTGTGTGTGTGAATGTGTATTCTACATCTTTGATTAAAATGCAACTTACTTTAAGCAAGGGCTGATAAACTTTTCCCTGTAAGGGCTAGAGAATAAATGTCATGCTTCACAAGCCACATGTGGTCTTTGTCTCATATTTTTCTTGGTGGTTTTACAATCCTTTAATGAGCTAAGTAAATGATTCCTGAAAGATCCTATGCTTCCCTTGGAGAAAAAAAAACAAAAAAAAAAAACAAAAAAAAACCAAGTCACTAACCGTGTTTGACCAGAGGGTATGCTTTGCAGAACCTTGTCCTAAAAGCATAGCATGTCCTATCCATTTTAACAGCGTTCAAGGTTCACAATGTATCAGTTTATTCAAATAAGGCACTGGATAGATGTTCAGTGACATAAATTAATAAAATGATGTATGGAAAACATGGTTAAGTGCTAAATGGGCTTTATTCTAAGAATAGATCAGAAATGTTCTCTTTATTGACATCAGTGCTCATGCATTTGTGCTGCTAAGTGATGTGACATGAAAAAACAGAGGGCAGAGCCAATAGCAGACCATTCAGGAACCCAAGCACATTTTCGTAAATGACAAAAATGAATGCGATTAGCCATCTGCTTTACTCGGCCTTTAGGTCCTATCCCATAGGCATTCTCAATCATGCAGACTCCACTTCTCAGGTAAAAGAGGTCTCCTTCTACTTTATTTTGTCCTGTTTTGAGATGGACAGAGAGTGATTAAGGCAACCAAAGAATATTCTGGAGACCAAGACTCACCTGTTCTGCCCATTGCCATCTTCTGAGCAGATAGTTCACCAGAGAGACAGCTGATGGTAACTTGATAGAGTCGTCCAGGGGATAAGTCTTTGAAATGAGTTTCAGTAACCTCAGGTGTTAATGATCTGGATTCCTTGATGGTGCCTTGGTGAGACAGGGTAACATTGTAGGAATCTACATCTCCAAGAGGTCTTTGCCACTTGACTTTTAGAGAGGTCAGACTGCCATCATTTGTCACCTTCAGATTTGAGACTTCCATAGGAGCTAAATAGCAAAGAATAGAAAAGAGATTTTACTCATCCCATCACATTTGTGGCCAAATTTTTACCCTTATTTTAATTCCTATAGAACATACTCATTGATCAGGAGAAAATCACTTTGGAGACAAAAATATCACTGCCAAACCAAGGAAGGCTGTATTCTTATGGCAAGAACACTAACTTTGCAGTCAGGGGCTTGGAGTTTTGCTAGGCCTTGGCCAGTTCTCCATAGAACATTGGACAAGTCTTTTTATAACTCATGAATTTCAGTGACTCCTACATTACCATTATCCAAATAATTAACCTGATTTAAAGTTGATGTGAGCTTTGCTCTTGTTTAGCTAACAAGGAAGAACCTACCTGTCCTTACTAGTTTCCATCTGTAGTTTTGCAGTCCTGAGGCCATGCTCACAATAGTGAGGTTGTAGAGGTGGCCAGGCATCAGTCCATGAAAAACATAAGAAGTGTCATGCTTGTTCACATTGCCATCTCGAACTACGGTCCCTTTATCCATTAGCATCAGCCAGTATCGATCCACGTTCCCAGAATCATGAGACCAGGAAATTAGGAGAGAGTTAGGTTTGGAGGAAACACCAATATTTTTCACTGGAGATGGCACTAGTAGGAGAGAATACATGTTCAAAATGTCATTCATAGGTCCTGATTCAAGACATAGGCTGTTTCATTAATTTACGTATGCATTTATGCTTCCCTGTATAGTCTAACTTGTGCTATAGTGATAATTGGCAATGGCACTCCTGAAATTTCACTGAAACCTTTAATGTTCTTTTTGAAGTCCACAGGCTTTAAAGGCTAAAGTGACATTGTGGTTTACCTGTTTTATCTCCCCTATGAAGATAGTTTTTGCCAATGGAGTATAACATAGCATGTCAATAAATAGAAGAGTCAAAGTAACTATAGGACAAGGAAAATGCAGAGGGAGAGAAAACAGGAAAAATGTTCTTTCTAGGAGGAGACAATAAAACATGGGACATCATGACATACAGAACATTAGATGAATTATTTTTCATCATATCCAGGAAACAAAGACTTATTTCAAACATAGGGCTATTTAGAAAGCATCATAACTTGATGTTATGAGAATATACAAAAGAGGAAAACAAATTCAAAAGATTAGTTTTGTGACACAAACTTGGATAATGAGGCAGAAAATCCCATTTTCCAGGATTTCAATTAGAAGGGCCTTTAGGGAGTATCTATTTTGAATTAGAGAAGATTCTATTCCTGGGGAAATCTTAGGACTTGTTCAAAATCACCTAGCAAAGCAGCAGCATACTCTCACATCTTTGCTTGGTCAGGTGACCACACTCTATCATACAGTCACCTTTATAAAGGTGGTTAGAGGGCTGGAGAGAGGGCTCAGTGGTTAAAAACACTGGCTGCTCTTGCAGAGGTCCCAGGTTTGGCTCCCAGCACCCACATGGCTGCTAACAACTGTCTGTAACTACAGTTCTAGGGGATCAGATGCCCTCTTCTGACTTCTGCAGACATTGCATGACACAGATGCACTTACATGCATGCAGGCAATACACTCACACATGAAATAAAAAATTAAATAAAATATTAAAAGGTGATTAGTTTATGTGTGTGTGGGTGCATGTGTGTGTGTGTGTGTGTGTGTAGCATTCTCCCATTCCTTGAATAATATAATTTCAAAGATATCATGGAGGGCAGGGATATAATTCAATGGGAAAGTGCTTGCCCAGTATGCACGGGACCCTGGAGTTTCAACCCCAGTAACACCAAAAAGAATAAAATGAAGAAAAGCACTGAAGACTATTAATGACAGACAATATGGTCTTACCTGTTGATCCATTAATATAAGTGGGAAGGGAGTGTTTTTCTCCAGAAACGGCTGTGATGCCAATATTGTAATTATTACCAGCAGTGAGGTTCAAAAATGTATATTCATTCCATGATGCACTTTCCTGAACTTGGACCCCTTGTATCTTTTGATTATTATCATCAAATAATTGCACCTCATACCAGGTGACTTTTCCAGGAGAAGGAGTCCACCGAACCTGCAGGCTGGTTGAAGTCCTCTGCCCTGGATTGACTTCAAACCTAGCAGGAGGCAAAGGATCTGCAAGGCAAATACCAACAAAGAACACAGCTTCAGGGCTTTAGAAATCAGTGCTTGTTCTTCCGTAGCCCAGGTTCATTTTCCTTAAAAACTTAAAGAATCTTCTTCCTGAGAAATCAACTGATGTGTTTCTTTACTTCTAAACCACAATTTCATTAAAAAAAAAAAAATCTCCCTTAGCTACTAGTTATAGCAATTCTTTTTTCTAATAAGACTTTCTGTAAGGTAGGGCTGACCTTGAAAATCCAAGCAAGATTACATTTCTTTGACTTGCAAGTTTAGTACACTTTTAAAACATCGATAAACATACAGCTGTACCTGCCTAAATACTGAAGACCTGAACAGATCTGAAAATACAGATTACTAAGAGATAGTTTGAAATTTGACTGAACTTCTGTGGATTTTTGTTGTCACCCACACACATAACTTTGGGTGGTTTTTAGCTGTTAGATGTCCATGAAAGTTCAGATCTTAGTGTAATCCTAATACAGATTTGCTCACCAAAAATGGATGCTCCCAACCCCAAGATTCCCAATATCCCTGGATTTCCAAAATCTTAGTATGCTGGACCTTCCAGAGTCCCCAGAGCTGGTGGGAATTGACAATGTTCTGCGCCCAGCAATTCTCTTCATTTGGGTTCCCAATGTCAGGGTCAGTTTGGGGAGTTCTGCTTTACGTGAGCTGAATCTTTACCACTGAGGATGAAGAGTACATCACGAGGTTGGGGACTGGGTCAATGGTATTTCATTAAGAGCCATTCGTTAGCCAGAGTGAGTTGGATTTATGGAATTAGATTGTCTGTATTTTGAATGTTGAGAGTGGAACTACTGAGAAACATCTCCATGAGAAAATGCTAGTAATCATATATAGTTCTTGGCCTGGAAAGTCAGATGAAGGTACTAGGGACCATGTTTTGGAATCAGGTCATTTGTTTTAGTGCCATAGACTTAGAGACCTAAGTTTTTAAAAAAATTTTGAATTTTTGTGAATTTCATATAATACATTTTGATCACATTTAGATCCCCTCCCATATGTGCATCCCCTTACTGTCTATCCTCTGTCCAATTTCATAACACACACACACACACACACACACACACACACACACACACACACACATTAAGGGCTATGGAGTCAAGTTTGTGTCCTCAAATGCCCTTCAGTGTGGGTCCATTCACTGGAACCTGGTCAATCTACCAAGAGTGGAGACCTCAGTTTTACCCACCTCCTTATTAACTGTATTTTGCTCACAACACTGAGAATTGTGGACCTAATTAGAAAAGCATTTTGAAGATGTTCACTTGTGATTAACACAACTACAACAAGTTAACAGTTAATACATCAATCAACAATATTTAGCCTCTATGTTCAAAGGCACTTTGGACATAAGACTATATTGTTCATATGAATAAGACCTTGTAGATTTAATATAGCCTGTGCAATCCAATGATTTATATTTTATGCTATGATTGATATGAGTACGCCATTCTGTGAAAATTAAATATATCACACAATATTTCAATAATTATTAACAATATAAAGAATAGCTGACAATCAAACAAAGAGAGTGACTCAGATAGTAGCCCAGGGCACAGGTGAGCATTGAAGGAAAGTATGCTTCACAGTATATTGCAATCCTGTGTTCATCTAAAGGATATAGGTTCTAAAGCTCAATGGCCTTGAATCTCACTCTAGTACTTGGCAACTGTACATTTGGGAAAGTTGTTAACCTCCCCATGCCTCAGTTGCCCCCTCTATGCAATAGTGACAACATTATCTTTTAAGAGAATTGTTATAATGAGTAAATAAACTGTTGTATAAAAAACACATAGGTCAATTCTGGCATGTTGGAAGTGCTCAGACTTAGCTGTTATTATGTTTCCCATTCTTCTAATCAGAGGGAGTTTTTGCCCAAGAACCAGGGGCATGGAGTACTAGAGAACGGAGTCAGAGTTAAATTCAAATCTTGGCTCCATCATTTACCATTCCTGACACTGTGAGCAAGCGATACCCCATCCAAGCTTCTGCCTCCCCACTTGTCTGGAGACTATAATATTAACAATACCTGTGTTCCAAGGAGTTTCAAGAGTGAACAAGATATAAAGAAATCTTTTCCCAGAATGCAATGGGCACTCAACATAAAAACTTATTTTTGCCTAGTACATCATAAAAATGAATGTTTTCTTCACAATCATCAATAACATGGAAGCAAAATAGAACAAAAATTTTCACAAACTGAATAGATAATATCCTTAATTGATTCCCTCATTAAAAAATCTTGATAAAATCTTGGAGCCAACTGTCTAACTCTTATGATAAAAAAATTCTCAAGATGATTTTTATTTATAAGTTGTTTTGGGTGGGCAATATTGTTTAAATTTTCTATTCTATGTAACAAATGTTGTAATAAAAGGAAAGAAGATGACTTCCCCTCACGGAAGGTTTTCTAGCTGTCTGATAAGGCATTTCATCATCATGAGATTCTAATAGGCAGCAAACCTCAAGAACAACGCAGTGGGATCCAGTAGGGTCCTTTTTGCTGAAGTGGCATTTTAAGGACAAGGGTGAAAGGGACAATTGCTTCCAAGAATAGTTCCGTAGGGATCATCTTGCCATCTGTGTCCACTACCAAGTCAGATAAAGGTTAAAGAGAATGATGTGACCAGTATACTCTAAACATACATAATCTGCAAAATATGAGCTGTAAAAAAATGAATTTTAAAGTTGCGTGCCTACAGGGTGAACTTCAGAAATGCAGACTTTATCTAATCTCTCTGAGCCAGAAAACCAAACAGTCAGTCCTTTGTACATCCGTTAGAACAAAAGAACAATGAGACTGGGAAGTGCCTGGACTGGAGAACCTGCCCTGGAAACAAACACTTAAACCCCATTTACGCAGTGATAAAGCCTGGTGCTGGCAGCCGTCCACTGCTGCTTTGCATGCTGTAGAAGCTGACGAGCTGTCAGATTTCTTTAAAAAAATGTGTTTGCTGAAGGGGGTACCCCAATTGCCTCACCCTGCGTTCCTGTTCAGCATGGAAGAAGCCAGAGTGGTCTGCATCCTGATTTCCTATTGGCAACTGGGGTAACCTTTTCAGAGGATGGGGTGATAAGAATAGGAGGTAGAAAATTGGCTAAGCAGTTAGGGTAAAAGGACCCAAAGAAAAGTAGCCAGTTTCTTTCTTGGCTAAAAGTCAAATGTCCTTGGTCCTTTTAGCAATGTACACTGTCCCAAAGGCCAAAAATGTTGAAAGTACTTGGGGGCTCTTATCCCTAAAAGATTTCAGGGTTACCTCTTCAGAGGGGGGAATGTTAGAGTATCAATAAGCCCCATAAATTGAACTGGTCCAGACTATAAAAAATGACTAGTCTATCTTTTGGAGGGCCCACTTTTCCAGTCTCACTGGTCAATTACCTGGTGATAAAGCCACTCCCAGGAAGGCAGGTTCACCTTAAGTCATGCTAAATAGATGGGCAGAATACCTGGTGTGTTAATAAGGTAGTGAATATTTCCTGCCTGGAACTAGCTCAGATCCCTCCAGAACTTCCAGACCAGCCACAGTCACATAGGTCTCTGTAAGTCTGTCCGCTTTCCTGAACTCTTCAGGAAACCGTAATTTCTCCCTTTCTTCTTCATGCCTTTCTTACTAAACATGCTTTCTCTAAGGCTCTGAGCTGCCCCTAGCATCTTGTAGTTCTTCACTTTTTCTCTAAAGCTTCCTTTTCCCAGCCAGGTGGCTGTGAGTCAGTCACGTGTCTGACCTCCATACAGGCTCTAAACCTGCATGACTTCCATGGTTTTCTTTCCTTCTTCCCACTATTCATCTCCCCAAGGCAGTTGCCAAGATCACCAGCTCGCCTGCTCTGAGGATTTTTCTTTAAGATTCTAATAAAATTGTAAAAGCTTCAAAAAAATGTGTTTGATTTATTTTATGTGTGTGAGTGTTTTGGCTGCATGTATGTAAGTGTACTGGTGTCACACAATGCCTGCAGAGGCCAGAAGAGGGCATTGGATCCCTGAAACTGGAGTTATGGTCGGTTGTTAGCTGCCATGTGGGTTTTGGGAACCGAACCCAGGTACTCTGCAAGAGCAGACAGTGACTTAACCTTCTCTCCAGCCCTGATAGATTTATTTTTAAACTAAACTCAATGAAAACTCCACTGTATTAAAAGCTTTCAATATTGTGCTAGATACAAAATAGGTGCTTCTATTTGAGATGCAAGTTTCGTGTGTGTGTGCGTGTGTGTGACATGTGTGTGTATAACCATATGTGTATGTGAGTGCAAGTGCACAGGTGTGCACATGTGGAGGTTGGAGGACAACTTCAGGTGTCCTCATTTTCTACCTTGTTTGATACAGGGTTTCTTAGCTGTTTTCCATTGTATACAGCAGGCTAGCTGGCCCATGAGCTTCCTGGGATTCTCCTGTCTCTACCTCCCATCTCACCATGGGAACACTGGGATCACAAGCATGTGTCACCATGGATGGCTTTACAGGGGTTCTGGGGATTCCAATTTAGGTACTCCCATTTGCATGGCAAATGCTTTACCCACTGAGCCATTGCCTCAGTTCCAAATTATATATATATGGATGGTTTGTGTGTGTGTGTGTGTGTGTGAGAGAGAGAGAGAGAGAGAGAGATGTGCACATCTGTGCCACAGGGCATGTGTGAAGTTGTTGTGTTACATTATTCCTGGAGAAATATGAACACATTTACTCACCACAGCTTAGAACTTGCTATGTAGACCAGGCTGGCCTCAAACTCACAGAGCTCCACCTGCCTCTGCCTCCCAAGTGCTGGGATTAAAGGTGTATGTCACCAGGCCCACTGAGAGAGATGTTTTTAATGCTATTTGACAATTCAGTTATATACTTGTAATTTTCCATTTGTATATACTTAGAAATTCCAACTTGGTTTATATAGTCCATGCTAAGGATTAGAGGCATCCACATATATGTGTGTATTTTATGTTTATTTTTCCACTTATAACTCATATGC